CCCCAAAACCCCAAAACCCCAAAACCCCAAAACCCCTCTATTATCCCTAATACTTGATATTATATTTTGCATAAAAATGAATATTTCAAATTTTATTTCATGATTTAGTGGAGATTACTCAGTATCTTTGGTCTTGTTGTTCCTGCTGTCTACGGTAGATATTATTTTTTGCTTCTGTGGGATCTGGAACTTCTTTCTTCTCTGACGCTTGTTCTCATCATCCTCAATGATTCCGCTTTGGTAGATTATCATTGATTTCTTGAGGGACAAGGCTGGCTTAAATCCTGGAATTTTCCTCTATAAGACTTGTTAAGAAAATTCTAAATCAGTTTGAATATATTTGGATGACTTTGCCATTTTGAGAGATTTCATTGAGTTTTATTACAAAATGCTTGCCATTGAAGATGAAGAAAATGAATAGCTACCTTAATCGGACTTTCTGAAATATCGGTGGTAAGATCTTTAATGGCGCTCAAGAACTCATCTTTGTATTTCAGCTTCTTGAGGGATTTCGAGTTTCTCAAGGCCAAGAGACGCGACCTACTCAAGTCATGGTCTCCTTGGGGATGACTATTCTGAGGAGGAGGGTTTATTACATTATGAGATTTCCGAGGCTGGGCTAACCTCTTAATCCTGGCATTATCGAGTTTCTTTAGAGAACCTCTGTTGCTCCTTCCACTATCTCACCCATGATTGTCTACTATGTTTGATATCTTGAGTACTTACAGATAATCCTTGCTTGCTCATGCTCTTGTAAGTTCTTAATAGAGGCTGCCCTTCTGAGTCTGAGAGCTCTATTTTCCATTTTCTCTGGAGATACCTTCTTCGATTTGGAGCTTCGAGGATTAATAGTATTGTTTCATCCGAGATTTGGCAATTTCTCATTATTATTCTGTAACCGAAAGGGAGATACCAAGTTTGGGCTATAAATTTACAGAGCTTGCTTACAATTTGCCAGGCTGAGCCTCTACTTTGGACAAGAAATTAGAGCTACTCTCGCATGAGGAGGTCTTATACATCTTCTTGATGGAGTGTCTTTTTCTTTCTGGAGAATTTCGCTCTTCTTTAATAACCTCATTTACTATTTTATCGAATCTGTCATTTATCAAATCTTTGTACTGGCTGTTCACAGATCTGCTTTTGGTGGATTCAGTGCTGATGGAATCAGAGTATAAAGGTCCATGCTTGATCACAGGCAATTTTTTTTGCCCATTTCTAAACCTTGTCTAAAGTTTTATGAAAGGATATACATACTCGCTTGGAAGGGCTCTTCGAGCCTATTTTAGATCTTTCCTTGCTGGCAGCTTTGACTGGTTCTGCAAAGGAAGGACTCCTAGTAAAGAAGATATTCCTGTAGATATGGATCGTCTGAGCTAGGCTCTCTAGCTTACGGTAGAAGTCACTCTTGAGAGCCCGATCTTTACTAAGAAGTATCGCATGTTTCACATTATCATCGAATTTTTCAAGCTGTTTCATTAGGATTTCTCTTTCCTTATTTTCGAATTTCTTCGTCATTCTGGTGGGATCTTCTGTAAATTTTTGGCATTTCTGGGATCTTAATGTCTGAAGGCAGTAGTGAAGAGTTTTGAGAAAATAGATTCATCACTTCTTGGTTCCATCTTCAAGGCGAGGAAGTCTCTATATTACTTTGTCAGAGATTGAGTTGGCTTTAGTGGGTCTGATGGTTTAGTTTTTAAAGTTAGGCTTTTGAATTGTTGATAAAGAATAACTTGGAAGAGGGTTTAGAGAGAATTTAGAGCTAGTATTGGAATTTAGGAGTTTATGCCTCAGAATTAATGGGAAAAGTAAGGAGGTAAATAAATTAAAATTCTTTGAAATAAAAATATGATGAGCTTTGTAATTATTATTAATAGTTTTGAACTTCATTACAAGGATAAAAACTTACAAAGTCCCATTTAGACAACTACATAGTAAGATACCTTCAAACTATTCAAACCTCAAACCAGTTTTCCCATTACCATGGTTCATCGCAAAAACCATGATAATCATTAAAAATCATAACCTACCTAACCCATCTCCATTCACACCACTTGTGCTCTTCTGGTCCCTACATGCACTATAACTCTAACCTCACTTACACTGTCTCTTGTACTGTAGAGTCTTTTCCTTGTATTCTCTATGGGAAGGTTAGACATACGTAGGTGTAGTATTGAGATTAGGAGAGGCTTGTTATAGCCAGATCCTGTTTTATAGGTTGGTTGTGGGTTGTAGAATTTATTAGTGAAGGTTTGAGATAGGTTTGTATATTCATTAAGATCGTCATTGACCATTTTGGGACTTACTAGGTTCATCTTTTGGTCAATAAAATAATTAAAATATAATCAATTTGCTTTGTCTCTTAAGGGGTTTTGGGGTTTTGGGGTTTTGGGG